GTGAGGAGGTGGATGAGGGGGAGGGTGAACCTGATTTTGGCGGGTTGGTGGGGAGGCGAGGGTGGGAGGTGAGGAGGTGCCTTGGAACAAGTCGAAGGCCAGAGTGAGAGAGGATGGAGGGGAGGGGGAGTATGTAGGCAGGGAAACATCTCCATCTTGTTTTGTTCATGCGGGGCGCTGGGGAAACCCCGAGCATGGTTCGTATCAATAGAGAGGCAAAAGTCAGTGGGGGGTTTGTCCGGAAGGCTTGCAGCTTAGACGAGATGTGGAGGACATTGAGCGATGTGATTTGATGGACTGCCCATGTCTAAATGATAAGCATCTGCAAGGCGTGAGTGAGCTAGCCCGAGCTTCCAATGGGCTGGAACCATGAACTGGTGTCTGACACTTTGGTTTGGGAACTGCGCTGCTGATACAGGTGTTAGCAGCGAAGCTGTAAGTTGGCCCTATCAATATCTCAATATCTGAGGAATCCTCCATGGCAATCTTTTGAGTCCCTGGCGGGTACAGCCTCCTTATTGAACGAACAATACAGCGAATCATGGCAACATCCTTAGACAACCTCAAAAGACATCCAGACAATGTTGACTTTATCAGTCTTAAACATTCACCTCCGAACACGACATGTCAACGACAGCACAACCAAGTTGAGCACAACACTAGGCAGGTCCGGCCATGCGGAGTACGTTCTGTCGTTGGGGAACGTTGGTTGTGCTTATCGGGACAGTGGTAAATAAGGAATCGACGACCTGCCAAATCAACCATCTCCTTCTCAAGAGTCCTGAGGGCTGAGACTTGAAGTTGTTCACCTCGGTCAAAGATCCATGCCAAGACCAAGACCGGGGCAAGGAACCCCAACCCCAACCCCGCGTTTACCCCTGACAGCCAAGACTTGGGGAAAGCCAGGTGCCGCCGGTTTGCGTCGGCACAAGTGACGTCCGTCCACTCTGCCGGGTGTTCCTCCCCGTCTCACCTCCTCTTGCTACCTCCCGCCGCCAGATTCCAGTGTCAACGGCAGCAATGTGATCTGTTTACTCTTTCCTCCCGAACCTCACCTTCATCAACTCTCCTTTCCCCATCCTAAACCAGCCAAAAATGAAGCGAATCCGCCCCTCCTCCCTCCTCCGACGCCCAGTAAGGGTATCACCAACAACCCTCCAACATGTCCACCGCCGAACAGCCGCCTCCCTCTCCCAGCGCCCAGATTCCACCCATCTCAAGTTCCCCGGCGCGCTCACCTCCCCCTTCAGTAACACCATGAAATACGAGGTCCCCTCCAACTATCCCGCCCTACCAACCTACCGCGCTATCGATCAGCATGGTGTGGTGGTGGACCCCAACTTCGAGCCTGACATGACAGAGGAGGAAGTCATCAAGCACTACAAGGATATGCTGACGGTCAGCATCATGGACCTGATCATGTTTGACGCGCAGCGTCAAGGCCGACTCAGCTTTTATATGGTATCAGCTGGAGAAGAGGCCGTTAGCGTCGCTACCGCTTCGGCGCTGACAAAGGACGACGTGGTCTTCTGCCAGTACAGAGAGCAGGGAGTGTTCAAGCAGAGGGGTTTCGAGCTGAGCGACTTTATGAACCAGTTGTTTGCGAATGTGAAGGATCCCGGGAAGGGGAGGAATATGCCGGTGCATTATGGAAGTAGGGAGCTGAATATTGTAGGTTTACTTTTCCTGAGTGATGATGGATGAGCTCTGATGTTAACCATCGACGGCGAATAGCACACAATCTCCTCCCCACTGGCGACACAACTACCCCAGGCCTCCGGCGCGGCCTACGCGCTCAAGATCCAGAGGATGCAGAACCCCGAGATGCCCCCTCGGGTTGTGGCGGCTTACTTCGGCGAAGGGGCTGCTAGTGAGGGCGACTTCCACGCCGCGCTGAACATTGCCGCGACGAGGTCGTGCCCGGTCATCTTCATCTGCCGCAATAATGGCTATGCCATCTCGACGCCGTCGTTGGAACAATACCGGGGTGACGGCATCGCTAGTCGCGGGTTGGGCTACGGCATTGAGACCATTCGCGTGGATGGCAATGACTTTTGGGCTGTCAGAGAGGCCACCAAGAAGGCAAGAGAGCTTGCGCTGCAGGATGGCGGAAAGCCCGTGTTGATTGAGGCCATGACATACCGGGTCAGTCACCACAGCACTTCGGATGATTCGTTTGCGTACCGGGCCAGAGTGGAGGTCGAGGACTGGAAGAGAAGAGATAACCCCATTGCCCGGTTGCGCAAGTGGATGGAGTCCAAGGGGATCTGGGACGAGCAAAAGGAGAAGGAAGCGAGAGACAGCATCAGGAGGGATGTACTCAAGGCTTTTGCGGAGGCAGAGAAGCTGAAGAAGCCAGCGATCAAGAACATGTTTGAGGATGTGTATGAGGAGCTGACACCTGATTTGAAGGCGCAGATGAGGGAGTTGAGCGAGCATCTTGATAGATACCCAGAGGAGTATGATTTTGGGGAGTTTGAGGGAGGCAAGGCCAGTTTGGAGCAATAGTGTCGCCAGGAAGCAAAGCCGGCGAAGTGAATTTACTGTGTTTATTGCGGGCCTTGTGGATCTGGCAGACCAAGTGAATGTGTTTTGGTCTTCTTCGACACCCGGGACATGTTGTCGACCATGTTGCCTACCTGTGTCTGTCTTTCTTCGATCAAGCTTCCGATCTTGTCAGCTTTCCTGCTATCCAACGCCTCGACACCCACTCTTGCCATTCCCTCTTCAGATCAGAGTATCGACCACACGGCAGGACAGCTGCAAAAATCGAAGAACACAACCCAAAAGATTAAAGGGTCAAAATGACTTCCGGAGCGAGCAAAGTCCTGATCGCAGTCTTGGTCTGCTTCTTCGTCACCATGTTTATCGCCCTGTTTTGTCTCAAGCTGCCCCAGAAGTGGGCTCAGAATATCGCGGAGCATCGGAATGCCAGGGCGATCGAGTTGGCCGAGTCCAGAGCAGCTGCTCACAGACGGCCAAAGTCGACCATTAACGAGTCCTCAAAGTGTACAACCGCTACCAAGGCGACCACCAAGTGCACGACTTGCATCTCTTCAAAGCGCACGACTGTTCCTTCCACAGCTCCTTCGACCATAGCTCCTAGCTCCTCGGTCAGTCGAGCCAAGACTGCCGATTCTTACTCGGCGGTTTAATCATGTAAGTTTCTTCCCATGATGATACTCTGCACCCCAGAGTGAAGTGGATGTCGATGTGAGGCGGAGGAACGCCAAGATACGGAACGGTGGGGCCGGCTGGGCGATCCCCGCACGATCCCCACAAGGCTGAAGAACCATGGTGGGGTTGGTGGGTTTTCTCAAGTGGTTTTCACAAGCCACTCGAACCAGCTCCACCAGCCACAATTCTCCGGCCCCGTCCGAAATTTCGCAGCCTCTCCGTCCCGAAGTCCGCGACGCCCGCATCCGAGCTGTCTTTCTGTTTGATCTCGAAGCTTACCGTCCACCCTCTCCAGACCTCCTCCCTACGCCCTTCCGGTCAGCCATTCCTATTCGTCACAATGGCCGCCGCTGCCCGACCGGCTCTCAAAAGGGCACTCCCCTCCCTCCGCAGCAGCACATTTCTCCCCCGCCAACAACAACCACAATGTCACCACCATGTACCAACATCACGACGATCTCTGTCCACCACCCCCTCCCACCGTAATGATACCCAACCCACCACCCCCTCAGACGAAGAAACCCACTTCGGCTTCTCCACCGTGACCACCTCCCAAAAACGCGCCCTCGTCGCCTCCGTCTTCACGTCCGTGGCAGACTCGTACGACAAAATGAACGACCTCATGTCCTTCGGCTGGCACCGCATCTGGAAAGACCACTTCGTCTCGACCCTCAACCCGGGCTTCTCCCCCCTTTCTTCCACCTCCCCTACCTCCCCCCAGCACATCTTGGACATCGCCGGCGGCACAGGCGACATCGCCTTCCGCCTCCTCCACCACGCCCACACCGTCAACTCCAACCCCAACGTCAAGGTCACCATCTCAGACATCAACCGCGCCATGCTCTCGGTCGGAAAATCCCGATCTGCCGCCCTCCCAGCAAGCCAGCAAGCCGCGCTCAGCTTCGTCGAGGCCAACGCCGAAGACTTGCGCAAAACCCGGCCTTTGACCCCCATCCTCTCCCAGACCGAACAGACTTTTTTCGATCCCGCGACCGCCACATCGGGGTTGGAAGATGATTCAGTTGACTTATACACCGTCGCGTTTGGGATCAGGAACTTTAGCGATATTCCCGCCGCGCTGGCGGAGGCGTACAGGGTGCTCAAGCCGGGGGGGGTGTTTGCCTGTCTTGAGTTCTCCAAGGCGGACAAGCACCCGTTGTTTAACAGTGTGTACAAGGAGTGGAGCTTCCGGGCGATTCCGTTGATTGGGCAGCTGGTGGCGGGGGATAGGGATAGCTACCAGTATCTGGTCGAGAGCATTGAGCGGTTTCCCAGACAGGAGGAGTTTAGGGATCTGATAAAGGGGGCGGGGTTCAGGGTGAGTGGGGATGGTGGGTGGGAGGATTTGACGGGGGGGGTGGCGGCTATTCATAGGGGGATGAAGCCTAGGGAGTAGGGGGGGGAGGAAAAGGGGGAAAGGGCTGTATTATATGTATAATAGTGTATATCGATTTGATGTTGGGGGTGGGGGGGGGGATGGGGGGAATACATTTCGTCGTTCGGTCGGGATGGGGTAATAGAGTAAAGAGCACCCAGAAGAAAGAATTTGCGTAACTTGGTGTTGCTGGGTTCTGCGGTGGACTCGAAACATCGAAAATGAAGACTGCTGGTGTACACCAATGTGGGCATTAAACATCAGACACACCTACAGACATGAGCTCAAGGCAATCTGCACAAGCCACGACAGCTCTCTTGTTGACCTCACGGGATATATCTCTTGACACAGACAAACTTAATTTCATGTTTTAACCTACCATACTCACCATCATCATCATCGCCCACACCACCCCTACACATCATATCACAGCTCACACCACCCATCTCACATGCACATCAACAAACCCTTCCCCCCCCCCCCCCCCAAAAAAAAACGGACAAACAACTCGATTACCTACATTTGTCCGTGACCCCATATCTACCTCAAGACAATTACATACAGAAAGAAAAAAAAAACACCATCAAATTATTTCTCATAAAGTGAAGAAAAGAAGACTCGAAAGACGCAAATCATTTTCTTTTTCCCATCCACCCATCCCCGTTCTGTGCCAAAGAAACAACTCAAATCAAATCTCAAGTACCATCTCCGTGTATTTCCCTCCCCTTCGTCATCGAAAAGAAAAGCAACAAGTCTAAAACCACTCACACTCAGGCAAGAGGTCATCGTGGTAATCGCAGCAAAAGCAAAACACGCAACGTGGCACATCACACAACACAAAGCACAACACTACTTCTTGAGAAAAAAAAAAAAAGGTTGGTTACAGCAAGCCAAAACTCGCTCCGTAAAATAACACCCACCCCCTTTTCTTCCGCTGTATTTTCCCACCACCCACCACCGAGAGCCATGACACCACCCCCAAATCAAACACCAAGATTACAAAAGTTCGTCTCTTAATCCTCGTACATTTACTGGGCCTCTCCCGCCCCACTGGCCCCCCCCTCCTTCGGGCCGCCCCGACCACCCCTACCACGACCGCCCCGTTCACCACCTCTACCGCCACGGCTGCCACCACGTCCACGGCCGCGACCAGCACCCTCACTGTCACTGGCACCGCCGCCGGCACTTCTGTAGCCGCTCTGGACGTTTCCAGAATCTCTACCACCACGGCTGCTGCCCCAGTTGCCCGCACCACCACGGAAAGACCCTCGAGCAGCAGGGGCCTGGAAGATCTTGACCAAAGGCTTTGATCTATCTTCTTGACCGGGAGCACGGTTCTTGACATCGTCTGGGAGACGGTTCAGGGCGTCATCGCGATCCTCGGTCGTCTTGAAGTGAGCAACTTTGTTCTGGCCCCACTTCTCAATCCTGACAATCTTGGCCTTGTCCTCCTCGGAAAACAGATCACGAATCTGATCCTCGCTCTGGGCGTTCATAATGAACAAACCGATGGTGTTTTCGGCAGAACTGCGGGGCGCCGATGGCTCACCAGAAGCTCCGTTAGAAGCGGCGGCGGCAGGCTTCTCCTCTTTGGGTGCTGGGGAGGCCGAAGGAACCGGGACTGGGGTGGCGGGCTTGGTAGGCACGGGGACAGGTGAAGGGACGACGGGCTTCACGGCTGGGACCGCCGGAGCAGCCGAGGGGGCGGGCTGAGAGGGAGCCGCAGGAGGAGGATTGACAGGGCTGTGGCCGGTGGCCGCGGCAGCTGGCTGAGCGCCGGGCTGCTGCTTGGCCCCACGGTGAGAGAAGTTAAATCCCTGAGCGCGCATCTCAGTCCCGATTCTGCCATCCTGAATCTCCAGTACGAGCCAGCCGAATGCCGCATCAGCTAGGTTGAAATTCCACATGTTTTTGAATGCGCTTTCGTCGACCTGACCGGCACCAGGAGCGTTGGCAGGAACACCACCGAAGGGGTTGCCACCGGCAGCCATGGTAGGCATCTTTTCCACTACGCTGAGCGCGTTCTTGAGCAACGTCTGCTGGGCGTCGTTCTGCTGAATCGCGGGCTCGACCTCGGCCCTCACGGTATCCCAAACATCGTTGAACGAAGCCTTGGAAGCGGCAAGCTTGCCGCGGTAGTGGTCCAGACTCGGGTTGACGCTGAACTCGTTGTACGAACTACCATAGCGGAAATGCAGGCCAGCCGAAATGGAGAAATCTGCCTTGAGAACCACCGAGAGCTGGTTGAGAATGCCTTCGCGGGCGGGCGAGGCGTGTGTGATGAACACGCGAGTCTCGGTAGGGTCATAGACACGGTTGGCCGTGTCTACCAACTCGCCCATCTGCAAAAGCGTGGTCCACATAGTACCCTGGCCGCCAGCGATGGTGGTGCGGCCCTCGCCGTTGTCGAAGAGTTTGTGCATTACCACAGCTCCGCCAAGGCCGAGAAGACGGAGCTTGACGCCCGAGCACTCGAGCAGCATGGACTGAGCTTCATCAATAATGAAGAGATTGGGGACCTTGTACTCCTTGGACCGGAACTTTTCCAACACGCGGACATCTTCGCACGCGCCCCAGACGGTGTAGACCGGGACATCGAGCTTGAGCTCACCGGTGATGAGCTGAGGGAGTTCGGACAGGGGCAGTTCGGAAGCTTGGAATCGTGACTTGACAGGGCCGGCGCCACCTGCCGCAATCGCCTTCTTGACTGGCTCCGAAATGAGGGGGGAATACTGGGCGACATGCTTTAGGGTCCTAAGCGTGTCAAAGTCAGTACATGTCCAATCAACAAACCACCAAAGCCAACTGACTTATCCGCAATGCGCTCCAGAGATGTTTCGTCGTAGAAGCCAAAGTCACCAGTGTGAATGATAAAGTCGGCACGGGCAGAACGGGCAAGGTCGTTCAGGGACTGGAGGTTGCCTAAAAAGAGCCGTGGTCAGCATGCAACCCCATCTATGCTGGCAGGTTTGTGTTTCCCCGACATACCTCGCACATCAGCGATGCAAAGAATTCTGTTGGGGCCGGTCTGAACAATACGGCCCTGGTTGGGAAGGAGAGGTTGAGCTCCGGGGAGAGGAGCTGGGTGAGGTGGCACGGCGCCGTTTGGCAGGTAGCCGCCCTGACCATACGGACGCGGTTGCTGCTGGAGAGAACAGTCAGCATTCGCAGCAAGAGAAGCACACAATCATGGCAGCCAAGGCAGTCGTTCCAGTGGGAGCTCGACCAAGCGCAAGTCGATGCTCGCAATCGCGATGACGTTGGGTGGGGACCGAGTCGCAGCAGTCATCTCGATCGCAGGAAGAGGAGGAGGGCAGCTCACAGAAGCCATGGCTAGAGCGAAAGCCAGCGAGGGGACGTAAGAGTAGTGAGGGATACCGTCGTCGGGTGCTGGCGGTGTTGGATGGGGTTCCTGCCGTTGCTGGCTGATCAGCAGTCGGAGTCGGAAGCTGAAGGAAAACACAGCGTCGGGCGAATCGCAGCTGGAGCCGGGGTTGGGGAGTGAAGCAGGAGGTCAAATCGACGGGAGCTGGCGCGGCCAGGAATTGGGTATCAAGAAGGGGAGAAGACCTCTGCAGCGACTTGCTGTTCAGTTGTGTTGCGGGAAGGCCGAGTGAGGTGTTGGAAATTTGGTCCAGCTCGCTCTCTCTGTCTGCACTGGCAGCTTCAACAGCCTGCCGCCTGCGCCAGGGGAAGGACCCCGTTTGGTTTGTGTCGCGTCCAATTGGGTACTAGCGCCATTGGGCCTCGGCGGGGTGACAGGGTTGCCAGGGTTGTTGCCAGGGTTGTTGCCAGGGTTGTTGCCAGGCTTGACTGACAGCCATCCATCACAGCGTCCATCCATCAAAGTCCAACTTACGTGGAGTGATCCTCTGAAGAGCCCACCAGGGCCATATCCACCGTTAGTCGAGTATGTCTTCCATCTTCCATTCTCGCCGTAGCCACTGCGGCTATTGTGTTCCATTCTCGGATGGTCTGCGTAGTTTCGCCCAAGTCCAACGTTGATTCGGGGGAGAGTTTCGGAAGTCGGTGGCGGCGAGGCCTGTCGTTGAGAACCTATGTAAGACTAGCCGATGTATGGGTAAAAAGAATTCTGTAATTGTCAGAGACGTGTTTCTCTCAACCGTGAGAAGTTGGCCGAGTTTTTCGGTCCGGGAAAATCAAAGAAAATGGGAGACAGGAGCCACCTGCCGTCGGGCCCAGCTCTTACTCATCTTACCTATCACCCCGTCTCCAATCTCGTGAATCGTGCCTTCTCTTTCTCGGGTCGTCGGTGCTCGGGGAAATCGCGACTTGTCTGCCGGTTGTTGCAACTATATACCTTAGGTACTTGATCTTACACCGTACTCCTAGCCTCCTGGTTATGTACATTAGGGGAAAAACCACACAGATAACTCGAGACATGACATGATGGCCGTGCTTGAGAAGAAATCATCCGGTATCATCTTTACCGGGTGACTCTTGTTTTAAAGGGGTGGCAGGAATTGACTTCCAGTTCCGAGTTCCGGGGGTGAAGGCCCGGGCCGGCCCTAAGCAGGCGTGGACCATTGTGGTGGCCGCTATATGGGGGCATGACGCAACATACCCAGTCGGGGATTTCCGCAGGCCGGAGAGCTCATCGTTACTTCTCATGGTTGTTGAAGAGAAACAGTTTTCGGGTTTGGGATGTCATAGGTTGCGAGACGATCAAGTTGAACCACGAGCGTTCTTGGCATGCTGGGAAAGAGATGACAACAGGTGCGGCGCTGTTCAACAGTGCAGTGCTCGAAAAGATGGACTTCGTCGATCGTGATCCATTTGAGGATATCGGGCATCTTGAGAGCGTCTGCAAGGTTACAGGGACAAAAAGAGAATACGAATGCAGATATGGAGCACTTGTGGGAAGGCAACACGTTAGTTAGGGCTTTGTATGTTGCAGCTCTGCGCCATAGAACAAAATACCCATACCGGGCATCCACCAGAACCATCGGGAAAGGAATGGAATGCTTGCGGACTCTAGATTGTGGCGTTTCAAAAGACCCGCTGGATGGCTTGAGGGCTGCAGCTTAAAACCCATCTGACATAATTTGTCACCTTGTGAGCAAGATGATAGACTTCCACACCAGGCGGATGACGGAAGGCAGTGTGGGCTAAAGGATGGGCCACTGAACCTCAACTGTGGTATCATCAGCCTTGACTGAGACTCCCCAATGCTTTATAAGGTAGCTAGTTAGCCACTTCCACGACGTGATACTCAGTCATCATGACCTCAGTAGCTCAGGTAATCTTCATTTCATAATTGCTTATATTTCTCTCAGAGATATCATATCGTCCCACCCCCTCACCCCTCAACACCCTTCCCCCATATACCTCCCTTTCCCCCATCCCAAAATCCCAAAACCCAGGCTATGCTATGCTAGAGCATTCAAACTACCAAACACAGAAGGAAAAACAAAAATAAAGGACACTACCATTGTTCGAAACATACAAATATGATACGAAAAGAGAACCCCCCCCTTCTCTCCCCAGAAAGAAAATAAGCCACCCTTTCCCGAACCACCACCCAAACCTTTCTTCTTTTTGAGACACTGGGAAGGAAAAATATGGAGCTTGAGTGGTGATAATACACATATTCTAACCCTTTCTACCCTCAAGGCGCCAGTATAAAGACAAAACCGCCTACTCATAAAAAGCAGGGCAGCAGCGATAGCAACAGTGTCGAGAAATGTGGCCATTCTTCTTGCCGATATCATTGTGGGGTGGCTTCTGTTGTAAAGGTACCGGTCTGGATACGGCGACACTCCATGGCCGTAGACGTTTATACAGCTGCAAGGAAGACCAGCCGTTGCCCTGGTCCACTCCCCCACCTTGGAGCTTCCTCCTGCTCCTCCTCTTCTTCAGACGTCTCATCGAAGCTTGGCGCCGGTAATGGTGGTCCTACCACATGTCGTTCCTCTCGTTCCCATTGCCATCACCCTGCGCGTAGTAGTAATTCTGGTCGTGCTGATGTGCATGGCCGTTGCCATTGGCGCCGTTTTGCTGGTATTGCTGCTGCTGGCCCCCGTGCTCGTACTCGTATATCTGAGAATCGTCCACATATTGGACGCTGTCATCGCCCTGCTGAACAGGAGAATCACCGTACTGACTGCCCGACTGTCGTTTGTTCGTTAGTGAGGTTCTAGCGTGTTGTTAACAAGGGATACATACCCGATGGTACTCAAAGTCAAAGTTCCCATCCTGGGCAGCCTGCTGAGCGGCCATCTGCTGCTCCAACGCCTGTTGCTCCGCTTCGCGACGTTTCCGCTCCTCTTCCTGCCTCTTTTGCTGCGGCGAAATCGGCACGTTAAGCTGCGGGTGCATAGCCTGCACCTTTGCGAGGTACGAATACATAAAGTTGCTGAGCAGAACCTGGCTGTGGAGGGGACGTCGAGGGTTTGCGAGCTTGATATGAGCCATGCGGTAAATGGCACGCTCTTCGATGATGGGGAACCGCGTCCAGTGGTAATCGATGTCGGGACGCAAGATACGTGCCGGTGGCTCTGGACTAAGTGCCCGCTGCTTCTCCTTCTTGTGCGCAGCCTCCTTTTCCGACTTCTTCTTTGAACCTCCGAAAAGGCCGCCAAAAAAGCCGTCTCCTCGCTTGCTGTCGCTAGACTTGCGCATCGTCTCTTTCTTCTTGTCGTCCTGCGGTAAGCCCTCGATGCTTTCTCGGTCCAACCGGAGGCTCTCGCGGCCCTTGGGGTTGTCGATGGAGTTCTGCAAAACATCAAGACGAGCATTATCATGGCCCTTCTCATTAGCTTTGCTCTTGGCCTTCCTAGCCTGTTCTTCCCTCTCCCGCTCCCGCTCCCTCTCCCTCTCCCTCTCCCTCTCCTCTTCCTTCTCCTTCTCCTTCTTCTTCTTCTCCTTATCCCCGCTCTTGAACCACTTCCAACTCGAGGTCGACTTTGTCGATGCTATGCTCTCGGTTTCATCCTTATCTTTGCTCTTCCTATCCGCCTTCTTCTCGACGTTGTCAAATGTGGGGATAAATGTCAAGCTGCTCGTGGTAGAGTTGCTGTTATCAGGTAACGCCTCTGGGTGGCTGATTTTCTCGAGAGGGTTAGCGCTCGAGCTCCCGGCCGTTCCAGCAGCCGACTGGGCAGGTTTGCTGGGTGATGGCCGTTTGCTGGAGCGAGCCGGAGGGCCATCAGCAGGAGGCTGATGAGCCTGGTCTTTTTGCGTCTCCTTCTGGGACGTCGATCTCTCCGGTGATGAGCTGGCTTCTTCGACCGGCGGCGTCTCGACAATCTGAGGAATGGCTGGCGCGGTAGCAGTCCGTGCTGCTGCTGAGGCTGCCCTGACCGGTAATGACTCTTTGCGGGGGGGCGACGAGGGAGGCGAGGCGGCTGTCGTTTCACCCTCCTGAGCAGAACCGGCAACAGAGTCCAAGCCATCGCGCGAGAAGTTCTGTTGTCTTCTGACAGTCCGCGTTGGCCTCGAGTAATTCTCGGCGATTGGCTCCGACATGACCCGCGTCAAGGGCTTGCCAATGGATGGGTCCACCGGAGGAAGCGGTGGCGATTCCTCAGAAGACATCTTGCTGGCCACCTGTTTCTCCCCAAGCTTCTTTGCAAACCGCTGACTGCCGCCCTTTCTATAAGTCGTCTTGGTTGACCGCCGAAGCCCCATGCCTGGCGCCACAGGCAGGATCGGACTATCTGCCCCACCATCCTCCCCTCTGGTCTCGTGCGCCAGCTTCTGCACCACGCTTGTTGGGTCGTTGACGAGTTCGTTGAGACTGAGCTCGGGAGTTGAGTAGTCTGGGAGGGAGCCATTTCGTCGAAGCCGTTCGGCACCGTCGGTATAACTGTCTCCGTTTTCAGTATGAGTGTTGACCTGTCTCGACAGCATCGACTTCTTCCGTCTCAGGCTTCCCGAACCACCACCGACTTGTGCCCCATCAACCGAGAGAAACGAGTCTCCCGACCTCCGCTTCATCGTTTGCACCCGATTTTCAAGGAACGTCTTGAAAGCACCGGTGTCGAGTTCGGGGTGTACTCGTGCTGGCACCCATAGCAACCGGCTTGGATCTGCTTCGTCGTCATCGCCGGTGGGGGCTATTGACGGCATGGCCATCAAAGACACGCCAGAAAAGGGCAGGAGATCGGGGTCGTGTGTGTTGGACACATCCATAGACATGCGTCGCAGCGCCTGAAGGTTGCTGAGCTCCTGTGCAATGTCATTGGCATTGTCGATGTTGGTCAGGGGAAATCCAGAGTCGTCGGCCTGGACATCGCGGAGGGAGGGCGTCGGGGACAATGGCGACAGGGGGGATCGAACGCCATCATGCGAGTTGCTTCGTTCTGTGGGGATGCGGGACGGAACTGTCTGGGTTTTTCGAAGGGGGTTGCCGTTGGGACTGGCATTACTCGGAGCGGTCACGGTGCTCGTCTGGTCCGAGGTGGTGCGCACCAGTCGTAGTCTGTCGTCGGCCGGGTCGTCCGGCCTGGGGGCCTTGCCCAACTGCTCGCTGGAACTCTTGGACGCGATAAAGCTAAGTGGCCGGTTGTCCTCGGCGCCAGAATCTTCGTCGTCGCCGTACATGGTGCCGATCGCTTCGGTGACGTGATGGCTCGGGTCTGAGATGGATAGTTGACTGGCGTGGCCTCGACGGTTGGCAAAGCTGCTGCCAACATCGCGGAGTCTGGAAGTCTGTTGAATCGTCCGAGGCGATTGTCAGCGATCGCTATTACTAGCCACACATCAGGAACAGCCCCTGGCCCACTGGGGCCCATATTTTTTTCCCTCCATGCGCTTGCACGGCCGTTCGGGTCTCGCGACACGAGGGTTCCCATGCCCAGCATCCAGGAACTCGGCAGCGGTCAGCGGCCGAAAGACCCCGAGCCTGACATCCGACATCCCAGCACTCGGCGCCCGGAACCCGGAACGGAAGGTGTTCGGAAGCCTTCTTCTACGCACCATCATCCCGACTAGTATTGGGCCTCTAGGAGGGCCTGATCCCACCCACGAGCTGTGTGTGCTCTTCTTCGCTTCCTTGTACCGATCGACCGCTTGCAGTAGTGCTATCGTCTATCTATCATGGGCGGAGGATGCGGCTGTTGCTCGATGCACTTGAACTCAAAACGACCAAGTCTTTGATGCGGAGAATCCTGGGCGCAACGGCGCTTGGCAACTGAGGCAGATCGTCGGGACGTAAGACAAGAGGGCCGGTGCCTTGAGGAGGGGTTCGAGCTTGAGGGAGAGAATTCGAGGAAGAAAAGGAAGATGTTCGGCCGGTTGGATTTGCGCGTCAGTCAAGCACCTGGGCTGAGTATGTCTCTGGACTCTGGTGGGGAGTAGACAACGGATTCGACCGATCAAGGTTCCATGCGAGAAGGGTTTCGAGACACGGGGATACGCGGGCGTTTCAATGTCTTACAAGGCCTCCGATGACCGTGGAGAGGCTCTTGCGGTGCTGCTGGCAACAGGCAGTCCTCGCTCGGTCTGGAGGTGAAGCAGGTAGCAGAGTCTTGGGAAGGAGAGGGGAACAAATGGCGTAGGCAAAGGCAAATCAAAGGCACAGGCGGCTGTTCTCCTCTCTTCCCTCAATGGTATGGTAACGAACGAACGGCGGGCAGGCCACTGGCTGGTAAATTGAAAGCGTTGCCCAGGTGGGTGCTAGGGGAGGCCGGGGCGATGGTCCAGATCAGGCGTAGATTTCCTTGGCCCACCGCTCTGAGAGCCTGCATTAGCGGCAAACAACAGTGGGTACTGTCACGTGCAGCCACTGTCAACACGCTGAAGCCGTGCATTTTGGCGCCCAAATTTGTCTATTTGGGGGCTTTCACATTCTCACGTCCACATTCCTCTCCCCTCCTCCTGTCAGGACCACCTCTCACAGCTGCAGGGACAATGCCGTCAGCTCCTGTGAGGGTCTCCCCAGCCTGATGGTTCAGGTACGATGCTCTTAGGGTAGCGGGCCCCCCCTTTGTGCGAGCTGAGCCTCAGAGATTGATACATACAACAATGTACAAAAGACCCGGCCAGTCGGATTCATCGTCATATCTAACAGGGGACACAGAAAGACCTTGTATTGTCTGTTCCCCTCTCTCAGCTGAATAGGCAGGTGTCATTCATTCTTTTCCAGAACAGGTGTCCACTCCATTCCATCAACAATCTGTATAAGATAATATACGCATATACGAAGTAAAATCGACCCGAAATGACCGGCTGGATCCGGTCCACACGCGCAAGAACGGGGTTTCACTGGAGTGGCGCTGACGATGTCATCGGCCAGATCTCCCTGATCCCTGGCCTTTCAAGGCTGTTTTCTGTTCCAACAACGCCAAAGAGAACCAGGACAATCCATCGAGAAAAACGGGCTGAGTCTGCTTGATCGTCACGGCTCGCTGGCCTGATGTTTCCAGTTCCCCCTCATTCATAAACTTTCTCCAAAAAGAACAAATCTTGATACGGAGTATCAACCGGGGAAAAGAAAATCCCCGATTCATCCAACCCTCAAATGTGTGCCCCACACTGTTATCGGGTGCGAAGCTTGGTACTTTTTTTTTGGAAGCCCAAAGAGAATAAAAAGAAGCCTCTCTGGTTTTGCTCCCCCCTCTCCCTCCCTCTCCCCTCCGCTTGTGACTGAAGCCCCATTGACAATGCAATCAATCAGATTCATTTTAAAAAAAGACTCACAAAATGAACCATTCACATCTTGGAAGCGGCGTGCGATGCATGCATGATATTGTCATCTCGGGCGGCCAATAAAGAGAGCGGGCGCTACCCAACCAACCACAGGGACTTGTGTATCCCACTGCCGCCAGCAACGGCCGGTGGCAAGGGGTCACTGTCACCTTTTCGCCAAAGTGAAGATAAGGGGGTTGTAGAGGGGCTGGCTTTTGCTCCAAAAAGCAAAGAGTCGTCTTTTGGCTTTGAAACTGCCTCTTACAGCTGTGGACTTCTTCAGAGACTCCTCCAAAGTGGCAACTCATCACTCACACAACCTAGGCCCGACGGTCTCAGACCCGGCAGTTTTTTAGGGCCCGTTGCCTTGCCAAAGACACCACGACCTGTTCGTTGCCCTGTTGACTGCTGCAGAGTACGATGCGAAATAACGTTTGATAGCTCCGATCGGACGGAGAAATCCGATCTTTGTCTGTAAACGCGCGTTGACTGTCAGAGCGCAGGCACTTCGGATGTCCTCATAATAGCATGTTCATCCAAAGCCGCGTATGGTTTTGCCTTAAAGTCCCATGTCGCCGGAGCATCACGACCTGGCCTGTCGGAATGCAAATCGAGAGACATCTAGAACTTTTCCCGAAGTGACACAAAATCCAGACGCACTCAACATGGCCTAACAGTACAAGGTAGCGTGGGTAGCAATGGATGTACTCTATTTCTACAGCATACCTACCATTTAATACCCCCACAATATCTACTCGCTATACACATTGCTCAACCCCCCCCCTTCCCAACACCTCTCGACATCACAATACCCCCCCTACTCCCCCCTACTCACCCTAAGCCCCCTCGCCCTCCCAACAACATCAACCCACCCCCCCGGCCTCCTCCCCCTCCCCACCCGATTCACCACCCCCTCCACCACCCCCCCAAACCCCATCAACTCCCTCTCCGAACACCACTCCCCCGTAGCCATAACCCCCACCGGTACCTCCCCCCCCTTCCCTTGCACAAACCCAACCGGACAGCTCAAGCTCGGCAACCCACAAAAATTCCCCAACCACACAAACTCCATACTCTGCATCGTCCTATCCCCATCATTCAACCCATACCTCAACTCCCCCGTCCCACCCCTAATCTCCCACCCCTCACACGCCGTCGTCGGAGTGACAATAATCATACCCGGGTGCTGTTCCCACAACCACGCCAAATGCTGCATCAGCAACCTTCGGAGTTTTTGCGCGAGCATGTAATCCGTTGCCGGGGTTGTTCGCCCAAGCGCCAAGAGGATCCTATTGGCGTAGGTGAGGTTTTTATACTCCGGTAACAAAGTAGCCGCGTCTGTTAGGACGGTCATGGCGTGTGCGATTTGCCCTTCTTGTAAAAATGGGATGGTGACGGGAACAGTGGTGTACCCGTGTTTGGACACCAGAGTGCGGATGAGGGTGTTGACTAGGGTTTGGATCGCGGGTGTGGCTTGGGATATCCACGCCTGAGGGATTCCCAACACTTTTGCGTCATCAGGCGTCGGGAGTTGGATTTTCAACGGAGAGGGCAGAGGTGGGAAAGGGGAGGATGAATGCGGGGTTGAAATGACGGAAAACAAAGCGGCGAGGGAGGACATATCTGCTGCGATGGGGCCGAGACAAGCACAGGTGACGCAGTGATTGGGACCGGGGCGGAAGGAAAGACGGCCGTGGGTGGGTTTGAGGCCGTAGATACCGCAGAGGGAGGACGGGATGCGGATGGAGCCTCCGCCGTCGGAGCCGAGACCGATGGGGATGAGACCTGCGGCGACGGCGTAGGCTGTGCCGGAGGAGGAGCCGCCGGTGTAGTAATTGGAGTTGTGGGGATTTCGTGGAGTGCCGTAATGGGGGTTGTTGCCTGTGGTGTCGAGGCCGAATTCGTGCATGGAGAGTTTGCCGAGAATCAGAGCACCAGCAGCTTCGATTTGCTGGACACACCAGGAGGTGGTCTTGTTGGTGGAAGAATCGGCGTAGACATTCGGGGAGCCAAGGGTGGTGGAGTAGCCTTCCATGTCGTACTCGTCCTTTACGGCTGTGGGAACACCGTCGAGGGGCCCGAGAGACCGGCCTTCTTTGTAGCGAAGAGTCGATTCCCGGGCTGAGGCGAGAACCCGTTCGGTTCGGACTTGGAAAAAGGCGATGGAGTGTTCCGAGGCGTTTTGAATGTCTCGGCGGATTAGTGGCAGCAGAGCCTCGGCCACATCGAGAGGGGTGATGGCGCCGGAGAGATACAACTTGCGGTAGTCTTCAACGGAGTAGTACTTTGCTTCCGGATAGAATACGGCAGCATCGGGTTTGGTGTCTTCTTCTGCTGGCTCGTTCTGCAGTGGCTCCTTGTCGACTTCTTCTGGTAATGGTACAATCTGTGGTTCGAACCATGGCTCATACTCCTCAATGTATGGGATAATCTTTCTCAGTGAGCCGAATCCGGTGTTGTTCCATATCAGTTCTCTTAGCAACCGGAACCATTCCATACTGCGTTCTGTATCAGTAAGGCGTCCAAAGATTATCAACTGGGCCCGCAACACTCACAGATTTGCAGCTATCATAAGAAATACGCCGCTGATGGCTGGGTTGCTGCCTCTTTCATTTTCGTATGGTACATCGGGACTGTCGTAATGTGGTCAGTTTGCCTGACTGTCAAGGGTGATATGGCTTACTCACCCCTTCAAGGGCTCCGGATAGTTGAGGAATCGTTGACGTTGGGCCATCACTTTGTATGTCTTGGCATAGGACTTGTCCTAAAAGATGTCCTGGCAAAAGGTGCAAACAGAGTCCAGGCGGGGATAAGCAGCTATTTACAAGTTTTCCTCTCGTGTCCTCGTCCGGCGAATTTCCGGAAACGCGTGGTTGAGAACCTGGAATGGGTGCCGAGGGAGGTGCTGTCAAGCTGGAACAGGAACAGCGTGCCTGTTACCCCTGTCGGGTTATCGGGCGGCGTGGGGCGTCCGATCTTCAGCGACCACGAGTCGGCCGATGACAGCTCATAGTTTCATGTCATTAGTTTTTTCGTCTCTTGGATATGTGGTGGCAGATGACAAAATGTTCATGCTGTAAAGATGCGATGTGTCCAGAGAAACTTGTTGCTGAGAGCGAGGTATGAACCTCTCTGTTTATTCAAGTCGCTTGGACAACGGTATTTGTGGACGTTGTGATGTTAAAACTGGACTACTGCACAGTGACGCCACAGATAGATCGTCCCAGCAGTTCGTCCCAGGGCCTTCGGTTCTGACTTGGCGCATGGCGGGTCATGTGATTCATATCTTCAGGGCTGAATAAAGGGAAGCTGGCAGCCAGAAGGTATCAGAAAGGGAGCCACGAAGATGACCTCTTTGTTCTCCAGGAGCATTGGTCTACCTGACTTTCAGGTTGGAGAAGCAGCCGTTGGACTGTGGGGATGGCGCGCTGTTGCACATGCTCCGGTCCGTCACACAGCGTTGCGTCCGGCAGACACAAGGCGGTCCCAAAATCTCTAATGGCAGAGAAAAAAACATGTCCAGTTTAGCTCCATCATTAAGAAGCTATTTTGACCAGTTCAATTGTCTACATGATATCATATTAATACATTGCTCATTAAAAGCTTCTCTTCTTCATCATGGATGCTCATCAACCCTGGTCTGTGCGCTGTTACACAGGGTTGGGCTGGAACTGATAAGATAAGGATTCCGTTTGTCGTCGACAACATCCACAAACTCCACAGCCCTCAATCACAGCTCCGTTCCACTCCACTGCAACATGTTGTTTGTTTTTTGGCAACGGGCAGCGCTATATAGCGGTTGAAGTGTAAAGCTTATTTTGTTTCTTATTTGAACCTAGACACATTGTTCCGTGATGGGGGGAAATGGCCCGCTCGACGCGGGCACACAAACATGCGCCGAGCGGAACCGCAAACAGCTGATTGTAAGTACTTCTTTCATTCCGCCTCTCCAATGCCATGTCTCACCGAGACACAACTCACCGGTGTAAATATAAATGCAAAAAACTTACCCTTCTGTTTGTTATTAGGATGACTTTGGTTCAGTGTTGGAAGAATCCCTGATTATCCTTCTGACTCAGGACTATGACATTGAGAAAGACTATGATGAGATCACGAGAGTCCTGAGAGGACTGGCGGAGAGCGCAACCGCGGAAGCGGCCACCGGATTTGATCCATCAGGCCTCGGATTCAGTGTGCCGGACCTGGATGAGCCTCGTCTTGACGATGCGACAACGACAAGCGACAATCGCATCTCAGATGGTTCAGGCGGTGACTACACTGGCACATCGCCTTCTGACTTTTCATCTGACTCTCTTGAGAACCAGATCCTTGTCGACCCGGCAACTTTCACCGAGGACCACAAGATCGCAGAGCTTCGAGGGATCTTCATTGACCGGTTTACCGAGCACACTCTTAGGCGCATTCTCGGGGAGAATGGTGGCGACTTGAACCGTACATTTGACGATTTGCTCAACCGGCAGTTTCTCGAGGACTCGGGCGATATCACGAAAGGCATCGATGCATTCTTTGTGGGCGACAATGTACAGTACCCTCCCAAAGGAAAAGGCAAACGTCGGAAAGGATTACCAAAGAAGAATGTGTTGGCAGTAAACTACAAAGCAACGTCGGTAGCAACCGACGGCGAAGAGCTTCACGGCGCAAGAGACTTCATTCAGCCATCCTCAGGCCGGGCAACACCAAAGCGCATACAACCATATTCATTACCGGCCATCAATACCAGCTCATCACCAGCATCGAAGAAGACTGCGGCAATTCTATCACCTACACCTCAATTGGACTTCGGAACCTCTCACCTGCATTCAGCTGCCTCGCTTCGACGCCAAGGACCTCTTGCAAGGCAAGGCGCGGTGGTGTATGTGGAACGAGCGCGGGAACAGGCCAGTGTAGCGTTCAGACAAGCTTCGGAATACGCAGATGAACGTGCTCGACAGCAAAGCACAGCCATCATGGTTGATCTTCACGGGGTTCACGTTCTGGACGGTGTTCGCATCGCGAGGGAGCATGTCTGGAGGTGGTGGAACAATCTCGGAGAAAACCGGGCAGCAGAAGCAAGAGATCCGGGCTTTACTGTGGTCACTGGTCTTGGGAGGCACTCTGCCGGCGGGGTTTCACGCTTGCGCCAGGCTGTTGGAGCCATGCTGAAGAATGACGGATGGAGGGTTGAGACCTTGACAGGCTCATTCCATATTAGGGGAAGGGTATGATTGTTGGATTGTTACGGCGCTCTGTCGGGATATGTGTGCATACTGGTTTGTCTGGTTGATAATATGGGAGCGGCGTTTGTTGGGATATACGGTCATGATGAGATGAACGGGCATTGTCTGGGTAGTATAGCGAGGGAACTTTTTGGAGGAGTGAACTGACAATGTTGGTATTCTGGACAGTGTTTTGATGGCATGAACGTCATGTAATTAGAGATACCATCTAAACGTTTGAAATGCAGTGTGCGAACCGACCATTTGGTCGAGCAGATGGCCCAACGACTGCAGACGAAACCCTCCATGAGGCCATGATGGTAGGTTAGTTCCAGGTCACAAGCATGGGCTAGCGGACATTTTCACTTTGTGCTCCTTTACCACAGCCCGGAAAAATACGTTTATAATCACACAAAGATATCTCAAGGCTGTCGACAGTACAAACACCAGATAGATGGTTCTTGTATATCGTCAAACTGATATAGATGAATGTCTACTAATTACAGAGTAACAGATGACTGACTGCAGACAAGCCGTCTTGGCATCGCTCCAGCCACCCCATCACGGATCGATCCTCAGGCACAGACTTCCCAATACGGTTTGGTGGCTTCCCCAGAACAACGCAGCCAATCGGCGTCGGCCATTCTGCGACGCATGACGGCATTGGGATGCCAACGCAGCGAGGCACCAGCTGCATCCGCCGCTCCTTCCTCTCGGCCATCCCCAACTCCCCCAACATTCAACACAACACCCGATTCTTCATCATCACCGCTCGCTTTTTCCTGAGCAGTTTCACGACTGCTTTTGGGATTTGTGATACTTTGCAATACAGAGCACGAAATCTCGATATCCCCACCGTTTGTTGACGGCTCTATCAGCCCCTCTGTCAGCCCGCCGCCGAGCGGCCTTATCCCGCACGATGACGAAGCTATCGCAGCTGTTCGCATCGGGCGGACTCTTACTCACCGTACTCAGCACGGCCGTCGACGCTGGCTACACCCCGAAACACGAAGCCGGTCGCTGCGCAATTCGCGGACATTGTGGTTCCAAGAGCTTCTTTGGCTCTCAACTACCTTGCCTCGACAACGGCCTTGCCGAGCAGCCTGACGATAAGCTGCGCAAACAGCTGGTAGACTTTTGCGGTCCAAAATGGAGCGAGGGCCCAGTATGTTGCGATGCCGAGCAGGTCGACGCTCTCAAGTCAAACCTCCAGACCGCCAACCAGATCATTTCGTCGTGCCCGGCATGCAAGGACAACTTCTTCAACATGTTCTGCACCTTTACCTGCTCCCCCGACCAGTCGTTGTTCATCAATGTGACGAAAACAATGGAAAAGGGAGGAAAGACGCTGGTGACAGAACTGGATCAGTTAATATCCAAGGAGTACGGGACAGGTTTCTACGAAAGTTGCAAGGATGTCAAGTTCGGTCCAACAAACTCGAGGGCGATGGACTTGATTGGAGGCGGTGCCAAAAACTACACACAACTGCTCAAGTTCCTTGGGCAAGAGAGACTGGGCGGTTCGCCATTCCAGATCAACTTCCCAGTCGACTACCCTGAACGTAATATGAAGCCACGGCCGATGGTACCGAAAAAGTGCAATGACGAGGACCCAAACTTCCGCTGCGCCTGTATCGATTGCCCTGCGGTTTGCCCCGAGCTTCCAGATGTCGAAGAGGCTGGATCATGCTACGTCGGTGCTCTGCCATGCTTGTCGTTTGCGTCTATCTTTACCTACACCGCTCTGCTCTTCTTGGCAGCTGTTCTGGTGGTTGGAAATGTTGCTTGGAGAAAGCATGCTAAGCGCAGGAGCGAAAGGCTTAGGTTATTGACAGATGCTGCGCCGAGTGATGATGAGGATGAAGGAGATTTGACACAAAACCCCGCCATGCTCGATCGCCCGCAAAAGACGTACATCATCAACACCTGGTGCGATGCCGCCTTCAGCAGACTAGGACACGCCGCGGCTAGGTTCCCGGCGATTACCATCCTCACCAGTGTTATTGTCGTCATGATTCTCAGTGCTGGTTGGTTGAAGTTCGATATTGAACAAGACCCAGCTCGTCTGTGGGTGAGCCCAACTTCTGCTGCAGCTCAGGAGAAGGCCTTCTTCGACACTCAGTTCGGGCCTTTTTACCGGGCTGAGAAGGTCTTTCTCGTCAACGACACCAACCCCGAAGGACCTGGCCCAGTTCTCAGTTACGAGACGCTGCTCTGGTGGATGGAGGTAGAGGAGAGCGTCAGGAAGCTCAAGGGACCGCAGTTTGACAGCTCTTTCCAGAACCTGTGCCTCAAGCCTACTGGCAGCGCTTGTGTGGTTCAGTCTGTGGCTGCATACTTCCAGAACGATCCGGATCAGGTCAGTCCAGACGGCTGGAAAAAGACTCTGCGGCAGTGTGCTCAGTCGCCTGTCGAATGCCGCCCCGAGTATGGCCAGCCTCTCGAGCCTTCCATGATTTTGGGCGGTTACCCAAAGGGCTCCGAGGACCCGACAGAGGCGACTGCCATGACGGTCACATGGGTGCTCAACAATCACGCCGAAGGATCTTTTGACGCCGAGCTCGCCATGGACTGGGAAGAGGCACTCAAACAGCGTCTTTTGTTGCTTCAAGAGGAGGCCAAGGAGCGTGGCCTTCGCCTCTCTTTCTCTACTGAGATCAGCCTGGAACAGGAGCTCAACAAGTCTACCAACACCGACGCCAAGATCATTGTCATCAGCTACATTGCCATGTTCCTCTATGCGTCCGTTGCCCTCGGCTCGACAACCTTATCCTTTAGGGAGTTCATCAATAACCCCTCGTTGGCATTGGTGGAGTCCAAGTTCACTCTCGGTGTGGTCGGTATCCTCATCGTCCTGATGTCCATCACTGCGTCCATTGGTCTCTTTTCCTGGGCAGGGCTCAAGGCCACACTGATTATTGTCGATGTCATCCCCTTCATTGTGCTCGCCGTTGGTGTCGACAACATCTTCTTGATCGTTCACGAATTTGAGCGCGTCAACTTGAGCCACCCAGACGACATGGTCGAGCAGCGGGTGTCGCGGGCACTTGGGCGGATGGGCCCCTCGATTCTCTTTTCTGCCATCACCGAGACCATCTGCTTCGCTTTGGGCGCCTTCGTTGGCATGCCTGCCGTTCGGAACTTTGCCATTTACGCTGCCGGCGCCGTTTTCATCAACGCCATCCTCCAAGTCACCATGTTTATTTCGGTTCTGACGCTCAACCAGATCCGGGCTGAAGATTCTCGTGCCGATTGCTTCCCGTGCATTCAAGTCAAGTCTGCTCGAATTCATCTGAGCGGCAACAATGGGAGCCCTGGAGCCAGATATTACGAGTCGCCGCCAGAAAGCTTCCTGCAGCAGTTTATCAGGAAGACCTATGCACCAAGGCTGTTGGGTAAAAAGACCAAGGCCGCTGTCGTTGCCATCTTTCTTGGCATATTCGCTGCCGGTGTTGCCCTGCTCCCCGAAGTTGAGCTTGGGCTAGACCAGCGTGTGGCAATCCCCGATGACTCGTATCTTATCCCATACTTCAATGATCTCTATGCCTACATGGAAGCGGGGCCTCCTGTTTACTTTGTCACTCGAGAGTTCAACGGCACCAAGCGGTCTGAGCAGCAGAAGATTTGTGCTCGCTACACGACTTGCGAGCAACTGTCCTTGACCAACATCCTTGAGCAAGAGCGGAAGCGCGCCGAGGTCTCCTATGTCTCTACTCCCACTGCCAGCTGGATTGACGACTTCTTCCAGTGGTTGAACCCTGACAATGAAGCTTGCTGTGTCGACCGCCGGAAGCCCTGCTTTGCCAAGCGCAACCCTGCCTGGAACATCACCCTCTCTGGCATGCCCGAGGGCGAGGAGTTTACTTATTATCTCAAGAGATTTCTCAGCGCGCCCACCGACGAGGACTGCCCTCTCGGTGGACAAGCTTCCTACGGATCGGCCGTGGTGGTTGACTCGGCACGCAACACCATCCCAGCCAGTCACTTCCGCACCAGCCATCGCCCCCTCCGCAGCCAAGAAGACTTCATCAAAGCCATGGCCTCTGCCCGCCGCATCGCCTCCGACATCAGCGAGAGCACGGGCCTTGATGTCTTCCCTTATAGTCTCTTTTACATCTTCTTTGACCAATACGCCAGCATCGTCGGTCTCACCACTGCCCTGCTCGGTTCCGCCGTCGGCATCGTTTTCATCGTCTCCAGCATCCTCCTCGGCTCCGTCCTCACCGCCGCGGTGGTAACCCTGACAGTCATCATGGCCATCGTCGACATCATCGGCGCCATGGCCGTAATGGGCGTGTCCCTCAATGCAGTCTCCCTCGTCAATCTCATCATCTGCGTCGGCATAGCCGTTGAGTTTTGCGCCCACATCGCAAGGGCGTTCATGTTCCCCTCCCGAAGATACATGGAGCGTGCCAAGAACAGGTTCCGTGGTCGGGATGCGCGGGCGTGGACGGCACTGGCGAACGTGGGGGGGAGTGTCTTTTCGGGGATCACGGTGACCAAGATTTTGGGGGTGACGGTGCTGGCTTTTACGAGGAGCAAGATTTTTGAGATTTATTACTTTAGGGTCTGGGTTGCGCTGGTTGTTTTTGCGGCGAGCCATGCGCTGGTTTTCTTGCCGGTGGCGTTGAGCTTGGGTGGGGGGGAGGGGTGGGTTGATCCGGAGAGTGAGGGGGGGTTGGAGGCTGATTTGACTAGTCGGAGGTATAGGGCTTTGATGCCGGAGGAGGAGTCAGATTCGGATGCTGATGCTTGAGAGGAGAGGAGTTTTCAAGGAACATGGGGAGAGGAAGGGTGGAGGGTAATAAATGCATGGTGGCGGTGTAGAAACATGTTTATGTCTTTCTAGAGCGTTGAATACATGTTTGAGGGATGTTGGGGTGGTTTTTGGAGGGGGGGGGGGGGGTGAAGAGGCTTTTTAAGGGATGGCTTTTGAAACATGAGAGGTGTATGTTCACAGAATTGTAAACATAGTAAATATGCTTTTGTACAGTTTTTGAATGTCTTGAAGATCGACTTGGACGGCCTTGATTTTCTTCAGTTCTAGATGCTCCCTCGGAGACTTAATTTAACCACCCAGAGCCCCACTGATCATGCCCCGTAAATATCCTCCAATCAATGCCCAGTGCCCAGGGCCATCCTTCATGTCTTTGGTGATGGTGAAGAGGTTGGATAATTGAGATGAAGTGGGTGATGCCCAGGGGGTGATGGTGTCGTGAGTACTTGCTGAAAGGGGGTTGCTTTGATGTGTGAAAGTGGGGAGATATGCGTACAAGCCGAGGGATCCATTGCCGAGGACGCCTACCAACGTGTGCAGGCTGAGGGCATGCGCGCGTATTAACTGAAGGATACGTGTACAAGATGATGGGTGCGCGTGTCAAGAGGAGATGCCCGTGAAAAGGGTCCTCTTTACTATTATCCTAAAGCTCTTGATCTCTGCTCAATAAATATGCTCCTCCCATATCGAGTGTCTGTCTGTGTCTATGTATACGAAACACCGACCACGAGACTCATAGGCAACCTTACAAACTTCCTCCAGATCCTCTGGGTTGATTTTGTTCCACCTCCATTCCACCACCCCAGAGGCGTTTTCCTCCATCAACTCAACCAACGACTTGCGCAGCTTCTCCTCGCGGTCTCGGATGTACTTTTGTTCTTTTGCGAACCAGTGAGCCGCGAGCTTGTCTGGCGTTATGTTCTCCACCCAGGTTGAGCTCGGGCCTGGGGGGAGATCAGCGGGGGAAAAGCCGTCGTAACCGCCTAGTTCTCGCTTGAGGTCTTGAGCGAGGGTGAGGTATTCGTTTCGCCAGTCGGGAAGACGGCGAGGGTGTTGAGTTGCGAGGTAGGGGTCTGGCTGTTGGCCAAAGGCAGCGTTTTCGTGGGCGGAGAGCGAGAAGATAAACTTCAGGGCTCGGGAAAGTGTTGTGTGGATGGCGTGCTTGCCGATGGTGCAGAGGTTTGCTTCTTGTACTTAGGTTGCTTCTTCCTTGATCAGGCCGTCAAAGAGGATGGGTGTGATTAGGTTGGCTTCTCCTTCTTCCCCTGTGCGCACAATCCAGACTGGGATGTTGGCGGCGGGGCAGGCGGCGAGACCTCTTGAGCCAAGGTCTTTTCTTCGAATGACGAGAGAGAGAGCGCCGAAGAGGGAGTGAGGGATGTAGCGGTCGACATCCTCCTGGAGGTAGGCCGAGGAAAGTCCCTCTTCCAGATCCAGTTCGAGAGCCAGCTCGTTGTATGCGTATAGTAATCTATGGTATTCTCCACTGTTGTCATGTTCAAGGTTGATTTCCATGGCGGCCTTTTCCACCGCGAAGGTCCGGACTCGTTCCCGGACAGACTGGAGGCGATTAAAAAGGATGTTGTTGAGAGCGATGGAACAATCGACAGCGTCCTGCGGCTCCGGATCTGGCTCCTCGCTTTCGAAGATCATCATGGGGAACTGGCCCCAGTCAGTTTCGCTGCGGTAAGGATGGCACCATTGGGAATAGATGTAGTTGAATACTAAGTCCCGAAGGACCAAGCGATTTTCCCAACGGCGCTTTTCTTGGCCGTCGAAAAGGAATATTGGCACTGTTTTGTTGAAGCATTCCCTGATATGGGTTGCTGGGAGAGGCTACGTAAAGTCGGGGGAGTCCCAAACCCACTGGTCTCCATGCCTCAGGTCGGATTTGGGTAAAGTGATGCCACAAACGTGGTCAACCATGTGCATCATTAGCCTGCGTCGATTCTCGCGTTCAATACCTTCGCATAGATGTTGAAGTATGATGTGCTTTGGCGGGATAGGCTCGCCGTTTCGGCACATCTCCCATAGGTTGAGCGTCATGCTGATTTATAATGTGAGGCGAGGTGTATCCTCAGAAATGCGCAGTGATGCCGAGGGACTGGACACTCTGTGAAAAACGAGTGCAGGTATTCAAAAAAAAAAAAAAAAGGGACGCTCAAAAAAATAGGCAAATCTACCAGGGACCCACGATCGAAGCCAGATTAAATTTTTTCACAAGGCTAGTACTAAACTCTGATTCAATTCAAAATCTACGGCTTCTATTTGTTTTTGGTCATCGTAGGAGGTCGCACGTGCTCCGACTTGGATAGGGTTCCGTAACTCAACTCAGCCTTTCGCACCGCTGGCCACATCAAAAATACTCCCACCTGTACACCTATTCTCTCACTCACCTATCCGCGACCCACCAGAATAAAAAGTAGATGCAGAAAGACCATGGCTTTCCTGATTAAGAGTTCTGTGGTAGAGGAGTGCTCCTGTCCGTTTGAAGTCTTGAGAGTCGCCTGGAAAGGGCTCCTTCGTTCAAAGTTAAAAACTTTGAATAACTCCCTACAGACAGGAGAAACATCTCGCATGCATGGGTATAGCATCAATTCATCACTGCAATTAGCCCTGACTATAATCTCAGTATATCGGTTACATAGCTGGCTTTACACTTGCTGTAAAACAGGGTAACCTATTCTCCTTGACCTCTACGAGCCTGAGTGACGTAGATAAGTGATCGTTGGCTCTTTCCGACCTCCACTTCTTGGTTCTTTCCAATTTAGACTTCATGGCTCACATGAGAAGAAGGCAAGGCTCTCGCAACGTCCGGAATTGGCCCACATATCCACCTGGGTTCCATACCCCGGTTGGAATCTAATGGAAGTTTCCTGGATATCCACAGAGTGGCGCTTTTCTAACCTCTGCTTTTCCAGAGTCACAATAGCCCTTCACGACAAAAACTTGATTATCTTGCGAGGTGTCGAACTTGCGCGCGTGGCAGTTAAAGTGGTTAAATCGAAAATCAAGACATACTGCGACAACATTAATGGCATTTGAACCGACAGCGTGACTACTGCCTTTTCTCAACACTTCCCCCGCCAATTTAACACCACCCCGGCACAATTATTCTTGCCCTGGCCCGGACTCTCCAAGCTGCACCACCTATCACTATGACGTTTACCAGACTTACTCAAAAGTTTTCACCTTCGACTCTTACCAACCCATCTCAAGGTCGTTCCCTACATTTCACAACATCACACCGCAATACAGGTTACCGAGTGATATCATCTGCTGCGAAACAGTGCATGACACTGGGGCGGAAAGAATGCTTGGGAAGTATCCAGAGATGTTCCGTGGGCCGGTGATCAAGAATGGCGTTTGTAAGCGGGAAGGACATTCGTGTCCAGGCACTCTCTCGCGAAAGGAGAGAAGGAAGTTGAAGAAGACTGCCACCCAGACTTGCTTTAGCGTTGACCTGGGCACGTCAAGAAAAAAGGCCTCACCGGATCCCCGACATCACAGAGACGGCGCCTTTTAGTCTTGGGAAGAAAATGCCTAGACTGGTAGGGGTCACACCTAGCCGTGGCTGTGGCCATTCTTGCATGGCCCTGACACAGCCATCAAGGAACCTATTGCCGCCATTGACGACTGGGATACTGGGTTCAAAGTCTCGAGTTCGACGCTAGTACAACTCCTTCGCTCCCACCCAAGTCTGCCGTTACGAAGGCCAGCCCACCTCAGTACCCGGCTGAGGGACACCCATACAAGTTCGCGCGCCTGTGCCCTGTGGATAGGGCTACCGCGATGGGTAACCAGTACACTTCACAGCATCGCCTCGATCAGCTGCATGACCGAGGTATCCATCGATGAGTGTCACAATCCAACGTGACGATGAACAACATCAACACTGTTCCTTGAAGTGGAAGCCAATTTACAAACTCCGTCAGCTCATGCACACCTTGCCGACAAACACACACAAGCACACACCACCACACAATCTTTGGCAACTCAACCTTCCTGCATTGCCAACAGCCGAACATGAAGGCGGTCGGATCCGTATCATCACATAACAACAACGTTGACGATCGATCCCTGCATTCATGTGTCTTTTCCTAGCATGATCATCCTGTTCTCAAGCATGATCACCTCGATCATATACGTGTCAACCGGCCAAGACCCCGCGCCATAATACGCCGCCTGACGCAATGATTCCAGTACAGCTACTACCTACATGACAGCAATATATGAAAGCTTCGTCTCAACACTTACCGTGCCAGTGCTGGCCGACGAGACTCTCCCTCGGTCGGTTTCAGCCATGACGAACCCCAAGATGAATCACTCGGGTCCCTTGCGCCTTGGAACCTAACTGGGGCCACGTCCAGCACCTTCCTACTTACACAAAATCTCGAGTGCACCTTTGTCAAATCATTGCAGTCAAACCCATATCGCCTTTAGTCCGCTCGGTCAACGCGCCAAGCCTGGCAGAAGCCTGACCGGCCCTTTGGTGTCAAGACATCTCAATGAATTTCCTCCCTTCATCAGGTCCTAGTGTCAAGACCGCCGTATAAACTCGTACAAGACCTTGTCTATTCACAAACAATTTCCAGCTGCACCAGACATGCATGCAGCAAGAGATCAGAGACGGGCAGTTATTCCAAGGGGAGTTGGACCAACACAGGCATTCTTCAGTGTCATTCTCGCCACCAACGCCATCAAGCTCTACTCCATGTTGTACACTGGTGCTACCATGGGTGGGTACCTGCTCGACAAGCCCAAGAGGGCCATATGTGTCAATGGTCGCCTTCTAACCTGATTACACTCCGCACGACTACAACATGCCAAAGCTCGTCTCTTCAACCTTGTCAGTCGAATTCTCAGTGTCGGCTATCTCTTAGCCTCGACCAGTGTCGTTCAAACAACCAAAAGCACCAAGCAGCACATCCACACTTAAAGACGAGGGCTCATGATTCCACGCTCGCTCCCAGAATGTATTTCACTGTGACGAGGGTTCCATTCTTGAGAATGGTAAGTCTTGTCCAGACGCTTACGGGGATATTGGTAAGGCGAGGGCGCTGACGGTATTGTTGACAGAGCATTACATTGTCCCATACGGCATCCGTACTTGTAGTGCTTCTCATTTTTCCCTTGCGTCATTCTCCACTGCTTCCCACTTTCACTTTGCGTCTTCGACTATTCCTGGGCAGATTTGGGAAATGAATGAGACTGCTACCTGCATACGTCAACAATGTCAGTTACTTTACGGGAGATGGCTGAAGATGGAAGTGATGGATGCCCCCTTGGAAGGGCACTTGAGTCACAACCGATGAAGAGAGTGTACTCCTGCACTGAGCCCAAGAAATTCCGATGGGTAAAGGGTAGCCAGGGATTGCCAGGATCAGATTGAATGCGGTGGCAATGAAAAACAAACTCCTTGACACGGGTACGGATGGCTTTATACTTGGATAAAGAACATGTTGCGGACTGATCCCTTACAAGGTTTGACGATGATCATATTCCCATGACCGCCGTGCAATCATGAGGGGTTAAAAGCTAAGATTACTGACATGCGCCTAGGAAGTATCGTGTTCGTGTGAGAGATGGCCGCTACCGGCCCTCTGTGTTTTGTTTTCTATGAGCTAATACTTACCACTTCAGGACCGGCTTCAAACGAGAGAGTCTCCACGTGAGTTGCTTGGCTTAATTGCCGAGTTTGAATGCGTTTTTTTTCTTTTGTTCTTTTTTTCTTTGTGATGGGTCTTCTATTCCTTGGAAAGAGGAAAAAATGAAGGAAAGGGCCTCGTTTTGAAAACACCACATTTTTGGAACAGGCGCACTTTGAACACAGATCCCTTTCTGAACACAGACCCCTTTTGGAAACAGGCCCCTATGAACAGATTCATCTTGGAAGGACCTGCACTCTCTTGGGCGGAAAGCAATAATTCGGGTACTATCATCAAACATGATCCGGCACTTCACGGATAGATGGGTGGCATGGAAGCTTTGATGGCGATTTGGGACCCTTCCTTGAACGTCTGAACTTTGGGCTACTGGCTACCGATTGTTTGTAATGACACATATCAGAAGGTTATTTTTTCATGGTCTTTCCAGGGGTATTTCAGGGGCTAATTTTCAGGAGTATTATACTACATGCAGCGGTTGTCCAAGGAACCAATAAACCGCCAAAGGGCGTTTCCCTAGCGGCTTGGCACGCTCGACCCCAAAAATAGAACCTTAATTCAACGACACTTCAACCGCAACCGCAGCCATTGAGATTTGCGAACAAAGCAACATACACATCACGGGACTTATTTTCCCGCTTAGACTCTCAGCTGTTGATCCGGCTCCTAGGTATTTGATGCTGTTTTCTCAGTATAATGTCTAATTCTTGAGCGACTTTGGTTGCCAAGCTGCTGTTTAACCAAGGCCATCAAAGTGGCCTAAGCTGTGCCTCCCTCTGTGACATGACGTCGGCATCTCCCGCACAGCCTGCATCTGATTTCTTCCAACGACCGGACGATCCGGCAGGATTCGCAATGGTTTTCACCTCACTTGCCGGCTCTTCTCACTAACCACCGTCCTCCATATTCCATCTCATAATCAAGAATCATTGAACCCCGCAAACCAAAGCACCCGAAACCCCATAACGCAATCATAAAATCACCAACCATGCTCCCCCCACTCCCCTCTCTCCCCCAAGCAACCCTCGCCTTTTCCTTCCTACCCTCAACAATAGGCACATACTTCGCCTGCCGACAACCCAACCCCAACCCCAACCCCCCAACCCGCTCCAAATCTGACTCCCTCACATCCTACCACAAAAAAGACAAACACGCCACCAAAATCATGCTCTCCCCCCTCTGCCTCCTAACCCACTTCTACGCCCGCCTCGCTTACCTCTAACCTGACCTCACAATAAAACAAATGCCGTCTCCTTAAAACATACTTGTTAACTTGGTCCCCTTTAA